CACACACACACACACAGATGACTGTCATCAAACATAAACACATTCACAACTCTCTCACTTTATGTCTCACATCATCACACACACACACACACACACACACACTTAAAGGGGTTTCCCACCCAAAACAGCAGGTCTTTATCCCAGTTTGACTGTCCTGCTGGAACCAGTAAACTTTCCAACATACAGAAGTTTCCATTTCTAATCATTCATGATGTTTATATTGTGCTGTAAACAGTGTAAACAATATAAACAATATAAACAATGTAAACAATGTAGACAGCGATTATGCATGTTTGTGCTTTTCAAAATAAGACACCCAGCAGGTTAAACAGATCCATTCTATCAGTAATGTGTTATCGGCTATCGGAAGGCAGCAAGGTCATTGGTCGAGCTGCCGGAGCTTGTTGCTATGTTAACCAATCAAAAGCATTGATCTATTGGTGTTTGGGTGGGACCGGTGGCCAATGGGACGCCAGCGTGTCAGGGGACGGTGACATGTAAAAGCCGAATACCGATCAGCAGCACAAACAACACACACACATCACCAGCTCCAGATCAATAACACACACAGGAATAGACACTAACTCACACTTATTTCACACGTGAAATCACACACACACACACACACCTTCTTAATGTGCCACGTGCAGCACACACACACTCACACACACCCTGTCTAATGTTTCTATTGATTACCCTGCGGCTCATGTACACACTGAATAGAGTTATGTTACAATATGAAACTGATATAAATGTGTTTTTGAGTAAAAGTTAACATTTTTAGTTCATTCACCAAAATAAAAGACTTAAAAGTATCTTATTTTGAAAGTTTCACTAATAACAGTAAACTGGGAATCATATAAAACAATATTATTCATCTTTCAGTATTTTTTATTTACATTTTAATCTGTTTTAAATTTTGAACTTTTTAAGATTAAATGTATTTTAAATTGAATATAATGTAAATATAAATAAAATGTAGAAACAACAAAAATAATGATTTAGATATATATATAGATATAAATATTTAATATTTTATTTATTTTATTTTTATTTAAGTTAAAGTTAATATAAAGCAGATTTTTAGCAAATTCAAATTGTGCAGTAAAACATAAAAAGTAAAAGAGTTTTATTACTTAAAAATAGAAAATAATCTGAACAGAATCCGATTAATTTACTTAATTATTAATCTTTACAATCAACAGTACACTTTCAGGTCATTGACTCTGTATGAGACTCTCTCTCTCTCTCTCTCTCTCTCTCTCTCTCTCTCTCTCTCTCTCTCTCTCTCTCTCACACACACACACACACACACACACACACATTTCATGGTCACTTTGCTCACTTTCAGATGATCACCACTCTTGTTGTCCTTTATGCTGCCAAAATGAGCAAAGCAATCCAGTTTCAAGATTTTGACAGAACTATACTGTTAAAGGTAAGTGTTGCTCAAAAATTTTATATTCAATTGTGTTGTGTTTTCCAAACTATTTATTATTCTTTTGCCAGATGTTCCCTCTTCCTTTGCTGTATGTTGGGAACCATATAACGGGACTGGCAAGCACCAAAAAACTAAGGTTGTATAATGTTCTCTAATTTATCAGACTTTGGTCCTTAAGTTTAACAGTGCTCATTCATGTGCTCTTACCGAAAACATGTTGTCTTTTACAGTTTACCCATGTTTACAGTGTTACGGAAATTCACCATATTGATGACAATGATCTTGGAGGTGTATATACTAAGGTAAGACATTTTTTATATTGTTTTTGGAGCTTTGGAGCACTTTAAATTACAGTTAACATCATGATAGAACTGGTCTGGAAGTACCGTACATTACATATCATGCTGCACTCTGACATGGAGATTTATAATAAGTTTATCATTAACAAAATAAGAGCTTTTGGTTTTGGTCTGAATGTTTCTATGTTCCTTTTTTCAGAAAAACGTTTTCTAAGCGCCTTGTGTACAGTGTCACAGCCATAGTTCTTGGTGCCATGGTTGCTGCAAGGTATGGAGACTTTTAAAGTTAATGAATTTTGCGGACAAAACACCTGTTCTTTCCTGACATCTGCCCCTCTCCTCCAGTTCTGACCTGGCCTTCGATGTGGAGGGATATACTTTCATCCTGCTCAATGATGCCTTCACTGCCGCCAGCAGTGTGTACACCAAGAAGAAACTTGGCACTGAGGTACATAGAAAAGATTTATTGGCGGCTAAATGCTTGTGTAGGTGCGATTACCTGCTTTATTTGGTACCTGACAAACTATACGGTTAAACAAGATTAAATTACTGCACAGCTGTCCTCACAAATTCTTTGTTCACCAAAGACCATTGCTAGGAAACAGTGGGTTTGGACAGTTACTAACAGCTCATACAGTGTGTGGTCGATAGATAAACATTAATATTCTATGTATAATATGTATAATATATGGTTAAAGAAAATTTAATTAAGCTTTATATGGTGTCAACAAAGGAGGTGGCTTTGATTCTGTTAGGCCAGCCTTTAAGCAAACAGGATCTTAAACACACCATCTCCTCAGTAGCACACACACTATACATACAATATAACAATATTCAGCTTGGACAATAGCAGGTCACACCCTTTCAACCACATATTTTAAAACCCTATTGTCCCTATTATGATCTTAGTTACTGAAAGCTGTTTACTTATTTGCCTTTATAGAAGTAAAATATTATTAATTAATTAATCATTAACACTTTCCAATGACACCATAAAGAAAAGGTAACCACAAATGATCTGTGTATGTTTGATTTTGGTCATAATCTAATATTTTCTTCTTGCTTTGTCAAGGGCCTTGGGAAATATGGTGTCTTATTTTACAATGCACTAATCATTATCATCCCCACTCTGATGGCAAGTGCATTTACTGGAGATTTACACAAGGTACATATAGTAACTGTTATCCAGTGACTTCTTTCTGTGTGTTTGTGCCCAAAACTGTATGCTATTCCTGCCTGACCACCTTGTATGTTTTGATCCACAGGCAGTCACATATGAGGACTGGGTTAAAGCCACATTTATTATGTGTTTCCTCGTGTCCTGCTTCATGGGGTATATCACTATAATTGAGTTCCAACTGTTTAATTACACCTTTGTGGCATTCTTCCAATACTGTCTCCTATCCAGTTATTTTAAGACTCTGTTTACTCTTCTGTTTTCAGGTTTGTGCTGATGTACTCCATAGTCCTGTGCAGCTATTATAACTCAGCACTTACTACCACAGTAGTGGGAGCAATAAAGGTAAGAACACATTGATAGGAGTTCTATTTTTAGACTAGAAAGCACACACAGTGCATACTGTATCTCCACCAAGTGTCCAACTGTCCAAATGTATTATTTTAATGATACAAAAATGTTTAAAGTTCTGGCCTGCTTGTGTCTGGTTTCTACATCACGCATTTATCTCTCCGATTTCTGCTGACAAGGTTATAATTATAACACATTACATTTTTCTTCAGAATGTTGCAGTAGCCTATATTGGTATCTTTGTGGGTGGAGACTACCTGTTCTCTTGGACTAACTTCCTTGGACTCAGTATATGGTAAGAATATTTTGTTTACACATTTGTATTGTGTTTAACATATATTTGATTAACAACATTTTTTTTAAATGCCGTAATGAACCGTAGCTGACTACAACTGAAAATGGTCAGAAGCGTTTGATGTGACCAAACGATCAAACATATGAGGCCACATTTCTTAACAAATGTACATTTCTTGTTTGATAAGAGCAGCGTTGTGAGATTTAATTCCATTGCCAAGCCAAATTCCAATCCAGAGCAAAACAAGAACTCAGATAAAATTAGTAAATGTGTTATTAACCACTAAGACTAATATGCCTGTTGTTTTTGTTATAACATGCATCTTAGAACTAAAGCTCATTGTCTAACAGCTGAGCAGTTCTAGCAACAATTAGTTTCCATTGCCTAACAGTTGATTGCTTTTATCTTTTGCTTTGCAGCATGTCAGGTGGACTAGCGTACTCATATTTCACCTTTAACACCACCTCATCGAGAAGTAACACAGAAGGAGAAAAGGAGCTGAAGATTCACATTACAGAAGATTCAACAGGGAAGTACTAACTAAATGGACAATATTTTAGCATTCACCACTTGGTGGCATTGTTCTGCTCCATATTGGAGCACAGTATTGCTTCTACACTTTTATATCCATTTAAAGGTTCCATATGTAACATGGTAACATATGGTATATGTGTACCATTGTTAGTAATGACACCAGGTGGTCATTAGTTAAACTGCAGGCAGCAACCTGATATAAATCCACAGACAACTGTGACAGTTGGGGGAAGGCCCCATTTACAAGATGTTAACTTATTGCATTAAAAAGTTAATACATAAAAATAATATGTAAAATGCTTCAGAATACTACATATGGAATTTTGTTTTATCAATGTATTCATTTCCCTGGATACATTACTGGTGCTACCTTTTTAATTTCACTTATAAATCGTGACTAAATAAATTGACAAGGGCACATAAATTCTGGGTCAGGTTCAGTGAATGTTTATTTTAGACCAACAATTATATAACAGTGTGGAAAACCTGTCAGAGAAATCTTACCTTTTGAAATGTGTAATAAAATGTCTACCAAGCAAGCTCTATACATGTCACAAACATGAAAACTGTTGGATGTTAGCAGAGGGGAAAACTGAAACTAAAATGACTGAAACGTCAAAGCGCTCCACAAATTGTGCACACTCAATACTCTAACAAACACAATGTGTATATATTAAATGGCATACTCTTCTCAAACCACAAATAGACTACGGGTTAGAAAGGCTTAAAAATATACTATAATTGGGTATAATAAATCATTTGGTGTTTTGATTATCAACAATTCACTTGCCTTCCAGTTTCACAACTCCACGTGGGTCATTTGTAAATCGGACAGATTCAAACATCACAGCTAGAGTGACAGAGTGACTGGTTGTTGGTGCGGGTTTTTACCAAAACAACTAGACAGGGCAGTTATGAGAGGCTTCATACAGTGTTCAAGGATGTAGTGTTATTAAAAAAAAGAGGAAATAAAGAAAAGAAACACCCAGCACTACACAAATCAGTTTTAGAAACAAGTGCCATTTTCCTGGACACGTCTGACAAATTTAATCTTCAGTGCATTGCAAGCTCAATCCAAGACTTAATAGGGGGGGTGTAAGTGCTTTATCAAAATTGATGGGATGTTTAAATGTATTTGGCATATTCTAAATTGATTTTACGTTTGTTAAATCTTGATGCCAGAGTATTTGACATCAAATGATTCCAGGGCAACAGCTGAACAAAATGTTAATAAAAAATATGGTGAAATAAATATCACATAATTTAACCTTTGAAGTGAGATGAAGCACCACACACCATCCATGATGCTATGCCCGTATCATAACTGGTCTGCCACCTTTTAATATAAAAGGTGACTGATATCCATTGTAGAAAAAAAACAAAAACATGTCCCATCTGGTTGGAAAACAACTTTAGGTCTTAGACACAGAAAACCGGCTGTTAAAATGGAAATATGACATATTTTTAAAGGTACTCTGAACCTTTGAACCAAGTATTGTAGATTAGTTGTAATACTTTTGTAACTTAATCCAGCAGGCAGTATAGTGGGCTAGAGGTGGACTCCCTGCACGCCTCTGGTAATGTCATGCGGATATAATGTGTAGGTAATGGGAAAAAAAAGCTGTCAAAGTTTGGATTTTTTTAGTCTTGTGCTTAACCAGACCTCTGGATTAGGCTTGCAATGATCACCTCACTCGCATATAAAAAATGACCATACCATTACACGCCAGACAGATCCAGCCCCCTTGACTTTTCTCCTTTTTTTGTCCACCTATGCATACAACTTGGAGAGTGCTCTATAAGTGAAGATTAACCAATCCTCACTCAGTCCCTTTCTACCACCACTGGCAGTTAAAGTATGCTTACAATGCTGAAGATGAAACCTGGGAGCATGATGAGAGGCCATCTGACAGTTGGAACGCAACTTAACATTTCCTATGTTTGACCGCACCCTGTATCATTCTGTCCATCTGAGCTTAAACCATATATACATCAGTCATACACACTCTGTTACACTCAACACAACATACTTAAAAAAAAAAAAAAACTCGTTACCATCAAAGTGCAAACAAAACAAATTAAAACAAACTTTCTTTGCCTTTAGAAGACAGGAGAAAGAAAGACATTCTTCATATTGTCAAACCTACAATTATAGCAGCCTAAAAGGATAAAATGGAAGCTGAATAAGGTGCTTTAGCTTGTGCCTTCCTGGTGCTGTGAGGGGTTAAATAGATGATGCTTGTGCATAATACTGATCTCAGGCCAATTCAGCTCTTTCTCAAAGTCTGGTTTTACAACTTGATAGGATAAACTAAACTAGTCATTGATCTGCATTTTTGAACAATTTCTAGCTACAGCACATACTGCAGGAAGGCGGATGGAGGTATGAGGGACAGGGAATGGGAGTCCAGGATCAGGACGTGGGTGGGTGTTTAGGCAGACAGGTTGTTGGCCAGCTCAATGAGTGCCAGAGCGCCGTGGAGACGCTCTCGTTGCTCCTGGAGGCGGCGCTTGGCGGCTCCTCCTCCCTGGTTGCCCTTCTCCTCCTCAGCGGCCTCTTCCTCTTCTTCGGACTGGAGGAACTCCATGGGATCCTGCTGCTCCTGGTCCTCTTCTCTCGCCTTGCCCTGTGGCTTCACCTTGGTGGTTGTAGGGGCACGCTGTTCACGGGTTTGCCAGTACCTGCAAGGACGTGAGAGTATATTAACATACAATGTAAGCAGAAAATTCTACTATGCAAAACAGGTCATTCCTGCTCAGTCTACCTGTTAAGAGCACTAGTGTGCGCAGTCTTGTGTATTCACTTACTTTGCCAGCCACTCTGCAACAGCCTTGTTATCCACAGACTGGGCCTTCTCCAGGCCGTCCTTTGGTTCCTCTCTCTTCAGACGGGAGTATGGGTGCTTAGGGCAGTGGCGGTTGGCATGTGTGAACCGATTGCCACATCCTGCAGAGAAAGCATCAGGTTTAAATAGATGCACCAAGCCACTAAAGGTTATGTTCTTCTGTTATTTGAGAAAGAAAGAATGGATCAGTTTTTTTTTTTTTAAATCAGTAAATAACGTCGTTTGTGTTGTCAATAAACATGTTTTTGATTTTCTGCTTGTCTATTGTAACATAAATGTACAGTTACACTGTTAGGTTTGTGTTTACTGGGTACTTTCCAAATGCTTCAAAAATAACTCCACTGATTAAAAGTAAGTCACACTTAACTGAGCAACATTTCATGCCATTGGAAAGTACCTAAAGTACCAATTTTGACTACTGTTTTTTCGAAACAATAACACTTATAAATAAAACTCTGTTCATCTCAATAGCATGGACATTTTCAAAATCTACTTTTCAAACCTACCTTTCTCCGAGCAGACAAAGGGTTTTTCCCCGGTGTGCAGCCGCTGGTGCGTCTTCAGCTGACCGCTCTGGACAAATGCCTTCCCACAATTTGGGTAGTCACACAGATAGGGCCTCTCTCCTGCGGGGAAATACAGATATTGTTCAGGCAACACTATTGTAAATGTTTTGCTGCTCATATGATATACACATACAGTACACTACTTGTAAACGTGAACACAAATGTCAGAAAATTCAGAACAGGTACTAAGTGAAAGCAAAAGTATGCTTTCACTGACTTTCACATAGCTGTGCCCCATCCTGAACAGCATGTTGCTGTTACATCTGGTTCGACAGGTGTTTACATGACCTTCCCTGCTTGTGCTAGTGTAGGAAAGTGTATTATGAAAACATAGAACACACCTCTTCTCAAGGCACCTGTCTTTTTGACAAAAAGCCAATTATAATATAATGCTTTTTTTTTTAAATATTCACTGCATCCACCTCCCTGTCCCTCTCACCTGTGTGTGTCCTCTTATGAGCCTGAAGAGACTTCTCTCTGGGAAACACCCGGTTGCAGATGTTACAGCGAATACGGCTGGACGAAGTCTCCCCCTCGCTTATGAGCTCCCGGACAGTGTCAGCCCTTGGACGCCCTCTGCGGATACCATCCTGACAGAAAGAATACACGGAATTTATGAACACCATAAGCACTTCTTTTTCTATTAAATAGCAGCCATATGTGACAGAATACAACACGTTTTAATACTTTGATGATCTAATAAATCTACAACATATGAATCAAGTTCATGAAGCATAATTTAAACTCGTACTTCATGTTAATACTGCTGTTATTACATATCTGTTTGTTGTTATACAGAAATATCCTGTACAGTAGTTCTATCAGTGGTGTGTATTTCATACAATGCAACATAATATCAATCATCATTTCCTTAGCTGAGCTCACGTGTTACATTGTTGCAGCACGGCACGTTTGTCCATTATTAATTCATTCACATCCGGTTACATTTTTGGCGCGCGACTAGACGTCATGTATGACAGCTGCTCCAGGATCAGGAAGTAACTGGGGTTTAAAATCCACCATCACACCCTAATGCGCGGGCGTTTTTTTTTTTTTTTTAAATGACTCTCCATCTCGGCCATATTTAGACTGACTCCAAACATAGTTTCCCCCATTTTAAGTAGTGCCATTATAAGACATTATATCATCTGCAGTGTGTTATTCTTTGATAACGGCTCAGTTTGGACTCGTTTGCGTCTTTAAAAGTTATCAATATCACCATACGTGCCCTCCTTTTCTTCCCAAAGCTGGTGTTATTACAAGTAGTTAAACACATTTTAGGCGTGGTTGCAACTCATAAATGTGTTGTAAGTGTGTTACAGTGCTGTCAACAGCTACAAACTGTAGTATAAGAACAATTATAGCCTTTAAATAATACTCTCAAATAACACTGTGCAAAAAAACACGAGTGGGAGCTTTGTATTCAGTAACATTACCGTTCAAATAACATGAACATACCCTGATCTGGTCTGGTGTAGGATCCGTGTCCACCTCCCTGGCCGTCTGGGTGCCGGTAGGCGATGAAGCCCCGCTCACCGAGCCCGGGCTCAGAGTCACATTGTGGGCGTTCTCCCCCCACTTCCACGGGTAGACCATGAAGTCGCTGAACCCGGGGCTGGTGGGCGTCAGGGCCTCTGCTTTCCTGGGTTTAATCGGGGTGGTCTTGATGACAGACACCAGAACTCTTTTGGGCGAGTCGTTACAGAAGATAACGTGCGGGTGCTTGTTATCGGCCATTGTACGGGCGTCAAAACTCCGGCGTTGGTCGCAAAAGCTAAGTTAAAAACTGTAAAAAGCTCTGACTCTAACTGCTTATAATAGCAAACAACAGGTATAAAAAAGGGTCATAAATAGTGCGCCTTTTCAGTCCGGAGTGAATATGTCCTTCATTTCCGAAGAGGAACAGAAAAAAATGTCGGAATCCGTTCTTCGCTACAAAGTATCCAGAAAAGACAAGATATGAAGATGATGGTGGTGAGTTTCCTTTCTTGTGGTCCTCTCACGATTTACTAACGGGTCGCAAACTTTGCTTCTCCTCGCTGCGGCTCGTCTGAACTGACACAGGAGTTTTGTCCCGCGTTGCAAAATCGCGCCTGAGCAGTCGACTGACCAATCGGCTGCAGGGATCCGGTCCAACGTGTCAGAAGTAACCAATGGCAACAGCTGCATGGAACTACCCAGCAGGCCCGTCGGCCAATGGGAAGAGCAGAGAGCGTTCCGTGTGGAATGGTTGGCCTGAGCGTTCTCGTCCAATGAGATTTAAACACTTGACGCGCGCTCTTGCACGTCGACGTCGAGATTGGCCAATGGAGAGGAGGGAGAGGGCACGTTCGCCCTCGGCGGAGCCAATGAGAGGGAAGGGCGGTTAATTTTACATTGTGGGCGAGCAGATGGCTCTTTCCCGCGCTGAGGAGTCTGTTTATGTTATTACATTTTTGGTCAATTTAAAGGGAAAAGAAACGGTGGCTCAGAGGCGCCAAAGTTACGTAATCCGTGTAGGGCGGAAATACTTGAACAAAGGGTGTATTGTGTGAGAGGAGAAGAGAAATAGAAACAAAACGTTATTTGAAATTGTGTTTGTGTGGTTTAAATTAGGGGGGAAAGACATTTCTCTTGTCCGTCAAAAGTTTACTTAAAGCTGTATAGCCTATGTTTTTGGTATATATTAGATTTGGGAGAATAGAAAAGTATGATCTATCAAGACCTTTGACAGAAGCTAGAAATCAGATTATGATGCCATCAATTTGCACCTTTTAGATATTACATCCAAATGGGTTTAAATATATAATGATATGACCATATAAATAACTGAAATAAAGGATTTAGTCATATGTCCCATTAGTTCTGAATGTATTCACCGCGGTGCAACAGAAGCCCTTTTGTCTGTCATTATGTGCCGATCCCATTGCTGTCAGCCTGTCTGTCTCTCACTCATTCACTGTTAAAGGCACTCCAAATCCATTTTACTGCACTGTATATTGTGTCTTTAAAACAAACTGCCCTGGTTTACTGTGCCAAAAAACACACCATCCAGATTATAGCCACACACACACACACACACACACTATATTCCTGAATTTAAATGTACTGGTGCTTTTGGTGATTAATACTCTTTTTTATACGGCAATGATCATTTATATGGGTGCTCACTTAAATTCTATTCAGTGTAATTAAAACTGCTTAGAGGACCCTCATCTCTTGGAGCCCATGCACTACAGTCTTATATATGTATATGTATTTCCTTACATGCGTTAATACTGACACAGTGATATCAATTTTAATGGAGTCGCACAATGTATGTTGTATGTTGAGACCACAGACTTGTACTTTCTGCTCTGACCACTAGATGTAGCTAAGTTTCATTATGCATAAATACATCCTGACTCATCCTGCTAGTGAGAGTGACACAGCTTAATCAGGTTTGAGGCATGCTGACCTAATTTTATTGTTAGAATACAAGAAATATATGTACATTGATGAAGTTATTTTATAAATATCAGTGGGCTGGTCATTTATCTAATGATCAACAAATGGAAATAGGTTCTGTCTGGAGTTTGCGCAGACCTACACAGTTTAGTGCAAGCTGTATACACAGGGTAATGTGCAGACTTTAATGGATTATCCTTCAGATTGAGCCATGACATGGAAAAGTAAAGACCACTTAATAATCATTACATTCCTAAACAGCAACACAGCTGAGTTCATTAATAAATAAATACACGCAGACATATTCTATTTATTGTGTATATTATTCCTATATCTAATTTTATTTCATTGTACTGTATTGTGTTTTATTCTATTGTTGTACTACATTCCCATGTGCTGCTGTGTCAAATGTTATATACTTTTTTCTTCTGATCCTTTTCATAAAAATACATTGTTTGGTAAGGTTTTGATAGAAAGATAAATAAATGTGAAAATCTGTATGATATGAACAGCTCAGCTCAGTTCAGTTCAGTTCAGCTCCCCAGGAGCCCAACAGGCAGAAAGTTCAGTGATTGATGGACCAGTGCAGACAAGTGCAGTTAAGTTCAGCCCAGTGCCAGCAAAGCTTTCAGGTCAGTAAGCTTCAAGTTATTACCGCCACCAGCTAGTCAGGATGGGAACAGCGGCTGCCACTTACAGGCACCAATAAATGCAGCTAAGTCAAGGAAAGACAAGCATAAAAAACGGTTCAGTCGACTAAATAAGCGTTGGGACTGAACTAACTGGAAGACTTGTATATAATACGTATGTATACATATCTAAAATAGGGTTAATGCTAGATGCCAACAGCAGCTAGTTAGCACACTGAGCTAACTTTAACCCAATGGTTCCCAAACTGGGGGTCGCCAAAGCTTTATTTGTGCTAGAAAACTTCAAAAATATACACAGTAGGTCTTTAGCTCCGCATGTTGTTCACTTCTGTGAGGAAAAGTAAAGTGTCTAATAGAACAATGGCCAAGTGTCAAAATGTATCTAAATCAATCGTTTTACACAAACTTCTCGGGTTAATTGTACAGTTTTGAATATAATATAAAATATTCATTAAAAAAAAGTCAGGGGTCATCAGTCTCAATGATAAAAAAGGGCCCCTTAAGGAGAAAGGGAACCCCTGCATTAACCTACTATATTATACTTACACCAGCCTTTGAGCTATACAACTGCACTCTTAAGCTAATGTTAACTGTAACCATAGACTGTAAACCAACTTCAGGTTAATTATCAGCTTTAATTGTCATTTAATGTTAACTAAAAAATAAAAATTAAATGTTGAATGTTGTATTTAACTGAACACCAGTCTCTGTGTCAGTGTGAACAGCAGGACCTGACTAAGCAGAGAATAATCCACCAGCATTGGCCGAGGACTGGAGCCAAGTCTGTGTAATGAATATTGATTAGCGAACAGCCTATTGATGAGCGCAGGGGCGTGGCCTCGCCTGTCCGCGCACGTGCAAACACTTAAAAGTGTGGCCAGAGAGCCGCGAGCGTTTGTCGGATGTTCACCGGGGCAGCAAACTACCGTCCGCACCGGTCTCCTCTGTTGTAGCTACACAGGCAAACGCTCGTTTCTTGACTCAGCTCTATCGTTCTTTCGTTGTTTACTGTTTGCAAGATATGTGTTCATCTTGAGGAGGTATTATCTCTTTGAACTGGTTCTCCCCTTCAACATACAAAGGCTAAAAAAAAATAAAAGGAAAAACAAAATGCTGCAGGACGCATACGGTTGCGCTGTGGCGAACAGGTTCGGGGATCTTCTGGACGACGAAGCTGACCCGTTTGACCTCATGAGCCAAGTGGAAATGGTCAAGGAGAAAAAGAAAAAGAAGAAGGAAGAGGAGGATAAGAAGGGCAAGCAGAAAAAACCTGGCCAGAAGGAGTCGCAGAAGGACAGGCGCCTCCCCGTCGCGTCGGACGGTCTAGACCCGGTTCCAGGTGAGCTTGTCTGCGTTATTTCAAACCCCAAATCCAAACCATTCTCTCAGCTGCTAGTATTTCTAGATTGTCTAGTCGAGCCAAGAGTCTGCTCAGGCTGTGTCAGCTGCTGATGATGCAGGGTCAGCGAGGCTGCTGGAGCACATGTGCATGCTTTTCAGGGCTGGGTGGCTGTGGTGGATTATCTGAAGCTAAGTGACATCCTCCTGATTTTATGGCACATTCAGAACTGCATTTAAATTCATACATTTTCCCTAAGATTCAATATCAAGCCAATACCTTTGTGGTATTGGAGTGTAATTAGATTAAGAGAATGGTTCCAAAAGGGGCTGGTTTGTTTGATTTGACTGTCCAGACATTTAAGAAAGATTTTCTCATCATTGGCAAACAAAGAGGGGAATAAAGTGACACAACACAATTGAATATATGTCTACTTCACCTTCTGTCCTCCAGTTCGTAAGCAGAAGCAGCAGCAACAGCAACAGCAACCGCAGCAGCAGAAGCAACAGCAACCGCAACAGCAGAAGCAACAGCAACAGCAGCAGCAGCAGCAGCAGGCCCGTCCCAGACCAGGGACAGACAGCAGAGATGGCAGAGAGGAGGCCCAGAGGGGGATGAAGAGGGTTGCCTTCGGGGAGCGTAGGGCCAACCAAGTGGAGTACCCACAGGAGTTTTCCATCTCCAAGTATATGTTCTCATACAAACTGAGGCTAAAACATGCTCTGTTTAGACAGCACCACCACTAACTAAAATGTGTCCAAATTAAGAGGCGTAAAATGTTGTTTCATACATTTATTTATTTTTTAGTGCAGAAAGGGAATTCTTATCCTTTTTTTTAAATTTATTTATTTTTCCTCTTTTTAGTAGGTAATGTTATTTAAAACAAGACTGCAACTTTTGAAAATTATATGCAGGTCTTTTTCCTAAAGGTCCAGTGTGTAACATTAAGGAAGGTCTATTGGCAGAGGGGGTTGTAGTCTGCAGCTACACCACTAGATTCCAAAAAATGCTACACACTGGACATTTTAATACAAGTAAATAATAATAAAGTTAAAGTAATGAAACATTTTTGCTTTATTTTGCTGCTACAGTCTTGCCTGGTCTGGTATATCAGTAATGTTACCCAAACTTAAAGCCTCAACTACTCAACACTGAAGTTCTGTCCTTTTTTCCAAAATGCAGACCCAGCCAATGGCCTGTATGTAGTGCAATACTCTCAGTTTGAAATACAGGAGCTGTCACAGGAATAAACTTATTTCGATTGGTCCACAGGCCTTCGTATAATGCAGACTCTGACTTCAGTGGCAGAGGGGGGATCAGAGGTAGGAGAGGAGCAAGAGGCGGAGGATACACAAGGAACTCGGACAACTTCAACCCGAGGGGCAAGAGAGAGTATGATCGACACAATGGAACGTAAGCCTTTGTGTTCATGCTGTTCAGTTTAAAAAGCTTACGCTCTTCTTGATTTTACCCTCATAATAGCGTGTGTTGACAACTTCTCTAACATTCATTGCAGAGGTATCTCTCCTGAGGAGAAGAGAGGAGGCAGAGGACCCTGGAACTGGGGCAGTGTTGAGGAAGCCGCAAGGTAAGTGAACTTTTCATTAATATGGAAAAGAGAGCTTTACACTTAGGCACAATAGAGACGTGTTTCTGTTTG